AGAGAGAGAGAGAGAGAGAGAGAGAGAGAGAGAGAGAGAGAGAGAGAGAGAGAGACCTATAATACAGTTACTACTTAATTTTGATGCTTTCTTCTTTTTCTACCAAAAGAAAGGATTGAAGGTGCCACTCAATCAAAGCAATATCATGTCATTGGTGTTTGAGAAGACTGAATCATCAGAGTTGCAGAGAAAGAGAGAGATAGAGAGAGAGAGAGAGAACCCTAACATGCAGTTACAATTTCAAGCACTTCTCTTAGTTTGCTAAAAGTAAAAAATAAAATTAAACAGACGAATTCAAAGAAATACCATCTTATCCTTGTCTGAGAAAACTGAATCGCCAGAATTGAATACTTTATGGTCTCTATCATGATTTACAAGCTTCTCAACCGACTCTTCAGCTTGTCTTCTCACTTCAAATAGAACAGAAGAAGGCATAATCAACCCTATTAAGCTCAGCTCACACGAACTGAACAGATTAAAGCTACCGTTTTGGAATAGAAGCAGCAAGAATTGTGCTGATTAAAGTCAGGGTTTTAGGGCCTGTTTGACAACTGGAAGCATGGTGTTATCGAGAACCTGGAAGTTCCTTCTCCCTGTGAAGCTGGATGTTCTAGCTCTTGTCCTGGAAAATACTTTTTTTTGTAACTTACTAGGAATTTAGAGGGAGCCTAGATACTTGTGTATGGTACCACCTGGAATTTATCAAACCTGGAGACCTGTTAAATAACCAATTTAATCCATACATTATGTAACCCAACCATTTTATAGTCATTTCATCCACAATAAATCAAGAAAGAAGAATGGTATAGACCCCCTAAAATGCAATAAAAATAATCAACCAAATAAATTAGATAAGAAAATAATAGAACCATAAAAAATGAAAGGCTACTGAATGGTTATTTTGACTCTTAATGACAATTAACTGTAACTACAATTGATAGTAGTATGCATCATTGTTAATCAATTGATAAGAGTTCTGCTGCTGACTTTCAGCAATACAATCAATCAAGTTTGATCAAGTCTTAGTAGCATGATCTATAAGTCTTACTTGTCCAACTGATGGACTCAATTTTTAAAATTATGTTTGTACATTTTGGAGCCATCTTGATGGTTCATTTTTTATCAAAACTGCAGCTGGTTGCTGCTGATATCAGTAAGGTGGCTTTTGATAACTTTCACTGCAGTCTCCCGAGGTATCACCTCTGCTGCTGACTTTCCTGGATTCTGGGATTCCTAGGATGCAGGTGAAAATTGGTAGGGTGAAGAAAGCTGGAAACCCTGTTTGATGAATGAACTGTGGTGCTTTCAATTTCACTTGTTTGTCAATGGGAAAGCTGGAAACTACCTGTAATATTGTTCTTCTCACAGATATCCTTTTTCTTCTCAAAAGCCTAAACTATTTGTACCACTCTTGAGTGTTTCTTGATTAGTTATTAACTCCAATGGAACCAATCTAGTGAAAAGAAACTACAGTTCATATCTATGAACAGAACAAGGGGGCATACAACTGAGCCTGCGCAAGGGTCAAACCCCATCGTTTGTTAGCCTTTATGAATTTAGATTTAAAGATTTCTAAACTAGAAAAGAAATCCCATGTAGAGCATATGCATCCCAATATAAATCACCAATGAAGGGTGGCTCTCATATGATTTGAAATACTTGGTCCTTGAAGAAAATGGTTGCAACCAAAAATTTTCATAATTGAGAATTATCTATTAATAAGAGGTTCTTACATGGAAGCTTTCTATGTTTAGCAACAATTCCACCAGTTGCATAGCACAGCAATCTCAACAAGGCAGGGCTAGCCCTAAGCTATTATCCCTATAATTTTTCCTTTACATAATTCTCCCACCTTTCTTTGTAGTAGGCATCATATGTAAAATATGGTACATAAAGAAGGATACTGAACCATAAACAAATCATTTGCTAACATCCCCCATTCATCAAGGAGATGGAAAGTACAGATATAAGGATGTATCCATGCAGCATGACAAATTGTCTGTCACAGAAAACAATACAGCCCACATAAATTTACTAATACAATAGGTATTTGTAGTCCTTTATTTTCTGAAACAATAATGAAGTGCACTTCTTTTATTAGGTAAATAGCATTTGTGACTACAGCTCACAACTTTGCATAAAGATAGTTGGGAAGCCACATAAAGGACACTGAACCATAAACAAATCATTTGAATGTATCAGGTACAGCCATAAACAAACCATAAACAATGCCACATAAAGAAGGGCACTGAACCGTAAATAGCATTTGTGACTACAGCTCACTTGCTTGCATTTATACTCGTCAACAAATCATTTGAATTGTTTCGGTCTCTTGAAATTTATCAAACGCAGCCATTCCCCAGTTCCAAAATCAAATCATTTGGGCAAATAATGCGAAATTCTCTGAATTCTTTAAAACATAGTTGGAGTGATAATGTGCCCAAGGTTATGCAGTATATTTCATGCACTAAAATCTGTGAAACTCTTCTTTGAGCTTGTATAAATGTTTTCATGAAAAAAAAAATCACTTTCTCATGCCATTTGCAAAATAAAATAGTAGACTTAGGTGGGCTGGCCATGTGTGGCACCACCAAGTATAGCACCTGTTAAGACGTGCAAGTTAGCTCAAGTGGAAGGACTGAAAAGGGCAAGGGGTAGGCCCAAAAGGACATGGTTGAAAGTAGTCTAAAAAGACATGGGGACTTATGCCTTCACTGAGGATATGACTTTTAATAGAGCAAAATGGAGAACCAGGATTCATGTAGCCGACCCCAATTAATTGGGAAAAGGCTAAAATGATGATGATGATGATGAAATATTGTCTATGCAAACCAAAAGAATGTGGTGAATGACCAAAGAAAACAACATATGTTAACATTTCCCAAAACCATAACAAAAACAAAATAAAAAATAAAAAACTTAGAGATATATTTCTACAGTTTTCTGAAACTAATCTCAGTAAAAACTTCCCAACTCAAATTGGTTATGTTCATCACAACAGGCACAAGCAATGGAGAACAAAAACAATCACAAAAAAAATTAAGCAGCATGGATAGCACTCTGATTTTTTACATGCATTTGGGGCATCAAATATTATGAATCAAGAAAATCAGATTATCAAATTTTTGGGGTATCAAAAATAAGGAAAACCCTAAATTTTTTTAAAGCAAATTTATAGCAGAGAAAAAAAAAAAAAAGGAAAGCCCTAAAAATTTTTTACTAGAGAGAGAGGTTGCTCTTACTCGCACAGGGTGTGAGAGAGAGATGTTACTATTGCTCGCACAGGGCAAGAGAGAGAGAGAGAGAGAGGTTGCTCTTGCTCGCATAGGTTGCTCTTTCTATGTTGCTCGCACATGGTTGTTCACACAAGTAAGAGAGAAAGAGAGAGAGAACGAAAGGTAGGTAGGCTCAAAGAGGGAGATTGTGAAGAGAAGAAAGATAACACGAGAGGCTAGGGTTTTTGAGGGGGGTGAAAGACGCACGCAATTTTCAGTGCAAACTCCCGCACACCCACTCCATGCGCAGAGAGCCCTAGGTGAGTGGGTGTGCAGGAGTTTTCACTGCAAACGATGAAATCTTTTCTTAGTTTGTTTAATTCAGTGCAAACTCCCGCACACCCACTTCATGCCTCGAGCGCTGGGTGAGTGGGTGTGCGGGAGCCCAGAAAACATGAACTCAGAAACCAAGACGTGTCCAAGAAAAGATTTCATCGTTATAATTATGAAATAGAATTAAACAAATACTAAAATCACATGCACGAATCCGTTAAAGGTAGTATTGCAATGTAAACAAAATATATGGCTAAATATGAAAAGAAAAATTTGAGAAAGGAAAAAAAACCAGAAAAAAACCACAGAATAAACCAAAAAAAACTGATACAACACACTCAACCAAAACCCTTTCCCTCTCAATCTCTTGCTCCAGCACTCACATTCTCTGGTAATCATATCCCAAATCCCATCTTTTTACATTACACAACTTATAACCCGTACTTACGCATTGCATAGAAAGGAGTTCTGTACAAAATAAAAATTAAAAATTAAACAATAAAAATTAAAAATTAAAAAAAAACACTTACCTAATGTTCAAGATAAGCAGCAGAGGGCAAGCGACCTTCTTCAGGGGCTTACAGAGAGGCTACAGCGTCGGTGGGTGGGAGAGGGGCGTGGAAGAGTAAGAGAAAAGGGCAAAAAACTAAGCTCATTAAAGCTAGGATTTTCGAGTAGCAGAAAGGATAAGTATGCTTGTCCAAGCTGGGGTTTTGCAATCGACGAAGCAGAGCCGAATTTATTAAAGCTACGGTTTTGGAGGAACAGCAGTGAGATGGCAAAAAGTAAGAGGGAAAGGAATTGTGCTCTCTCTCTAAACTATTTAATTTGAATGGGTGTATTTGAGAACGAACTTTAAAACAAGGAAAACGTTTATATATGTGCGAGGCTCTAAACAATGGCACACCTCCAAAATTTCTTTGTTTTGATAACCAAATATCTCAAATTTATCACCTTGACCTCAACATGCACTGACATAAGAGAAAGTAGATTTCAAGTTTTAGAAATAAAGCATGTTGTAATGTATTTTTGGACCATCAATTTTCAAGATTTTTAAATTGTTATAGATTTTCTCGATCTATACTATTTTTTAAGCTTTAAATTTTATAATTAAGATTGCTAACTTCCATATACTCATCTTAGCCACTCCGGTAAGGAGTTCTTATCTTCTTCTAGTTGTCTAGAATGAGTGTGCTAACTATAAAACAAAAGGGTGTAGTTGGCATACGGGATGCATTTGCAGCTGTAGAGGTAAGGTACACATTCAAATTTTATCATGGTATATAATTTTGATGTAAAATGTTCTTAAGATTATCTCAAAATCTATTTTTATATCTAATTATAAAATTTTAAATTTCAAAAATGGTTAAAAACAAGTGGATCTATAAACATATGAAAATCTTGAAAATGGACGGTGTAGATAATATGTTGTAAAGTGCACTATTTTTAGACTTAAAATCTTTTTATTTTTCATGGTCATATATGTCGAGATGATCAATCAAAGGGTTTTTCAACATTAAAACTACATTTCCCGATGATTTTTTAGGTGCATCCGTAGTTCTACATTATAAGGTTGCATCCTTATATAAGCTTTTTTAAATAAAAAAAGAACCACAATCAGAAAACTCAAATGAAAGAGAACGAGACATTTCAGTCCTCACCTGATAGCACTGGGCCCCTTCGATATGATTGGTTAGATGCCTCAACCTCGCCCTCCAGGTTGCGAGGACCTGGTGGCATGGTTTCGGGTTCGAGAGGACCCAGGACCTGAGATCGCTCTATAGGAAACTACGTAAAGGGGACGTGGGTAGGAATACCAATCGATGAGAGACGAATTTGGGTCGTGAGGCGGGACTCACCTCACGTGCGTTTGTGACACACTCAGGCTGCTTGCGTAGACGCCCTCTTAGATCATATGGAATGCCCCCTGTCCCGTAGCCGGTTCGGAATCGCCTCCCTTGACCGGTTTCTTCTTTCCTACAACCACACACACACACATTAGGAATACATACAAGTAGGTCAAAAGACTCCACCTTGTCTTTTGGGTGAATGCACACAAGCGTGTACATTCAAAAGGGAAAATAGAGGAATGATGTCATTGAACCTTGTGTCAATTGGACAGCCTTCTGGTGTCTTCTTAACAGGGGATTCAAACATCATTCCCTGGTAAAAAATGAGGGAAAGGGAGTGAGATAAAGAAATTAAAGGGGGAAGAAAAGGAGACAGAGAGGAGAAAATAGAGAGAGAAAATAGAAATGAAGGAACGAAGACCAGTTTAGCTTTCACCTGGTTCTTCAGAGAGAGGGAGAAGAAAAGGAATCAAAGAGAGGGTGTAGGTTAGCTTGGATCTCGCTAAACCTTTCAAAAGGGAGAAGAGATGAGAATGAAATAAGAGAGAAAGGAGAAGAAAGGAGAGAGAAGGAATGAGAAGAAGAAAGTAGATAAAGAAGAAAAGGAATGAGAAAAAGAGGGTGAAGGTTAGCTTGGCTCTCGCTATACCTTCCAAAAGGGAGAAGAGACAAAAAAAAGGTGAGAAGAAGAAAGTAGAGAGAGGGAAGGGAGACGAAGAAAGTAGAGAGAGAAAAAAAGGAATGAGAAAAAGAGGGTGAAGGTTAACTTAACTCTCGCTAAACTTCCAAAAGGGTGAAGAGACGAAAAGAAGGAGAGAAGAAGAGAAGAGAAGAAGAGAAGAGAAGAGAAGTGAGAAGAGAAGGAGAAGAAAGTAGAGAGAGAAGAAAAGGAATGAGACAAAGACGGTGAAAAGAGAGCAGAGAGAAGAGTCGAGCATGGCGAGTGACCCTGCTGTGCCAAACAGAAGAGAGAGAAAAGAGAGCAGCGAGAAGAGTCAAGCACGATGGGTGACCCTGTCGTGCCAGACATAAGAGAAAAGAAAGAGAAGCATGGACAGTGGTTTGCGCTGCCATCCAGGAGAGTGAAGAGAGAGAAAGAGAGTAACATGGATGGCAGCTTATGCTACCGTTCAGGAGAGTGAAGAGAGAGAAAGAGAGTAACATGGATGGCGGCTTGTGCTACCATCCAGGAGAGTGAAGAGAGAGAAAGAAAGTAACATGGACAGTGGCTTGTGTTGTCGTCCAGGAGAGTGAAGAGAGAGAAAGAGAAATAAGAAGAGAGAAAGGAAAGAAGAAGAGAGAGAAAAGAAAGAAGAAGAGAGAGAAAAGAAAGAAGAAGAGAGAGAAAGACAAGAGAAAGGAAAGAGGAGAGAGAAAGTTACCTTGATGGTCCAAGAGTACCCGCCTAAAATCTTCTCTTTCTTCTCTCTTTCTCAAAAGAAGAAAATCGTGACCCAAAAAGTCAAGCAAAAGCCCAAATTTTAATTCATCAAAGAGAGGTCCATTACATGAGCGCATCACATGCTTATATAGAAATTAAATCCAAACATGGATGGATGCCCCATCCTTCATCTAATTGTTAAAAAATGGTTTTTAATAAAAATAAGAAAATTGGGGCAACATACCAATTTTGCCCCTGGCCCAAAAATCTTGAAATTCCAATTCAGTCCCTGTCATGGCCATGCAACCCTTGCGATCTCCCGAGGTCTGTTCAAGGTCTTTTCGGCTTCTATCTGGCTAAAATATTATTGCTTTCTTGATCAACTTGGGGAAACGGTCGTTTTGATACTCATTTCGAGCCATGGATTGGGTTTTTGGGCCACGATTACGAGGTGTGAAAATCATGAGAAACCTGCGATCTTTGATTCAAGATCACGCCCATTTCTCATCGTTTTTTCCATGATTTCTTTGCTGTATTTTGACGAGCATGCCGTCATGAACGTTTGGCAATGAACGTGGCTTGATTTGGTGCCCGAACGACTATTTTCCAAATTAGGTCTTTTAGCCGTAATTTGATTTTCGATGGCCAAAAATTGCAGTGACTTCATCATCTTTTTGCAGTGATTTCGACCATCCATTATGCGTGATGTTCAGCCCGAATGAAGCCTCCGACGATGTGGTCGTAACGGGTCCAGTTTGAGGTCCATTCAATAGGCAAGCATCGTGATGTGGCCATTCGATTGACGATACCTCTTACTATAAAATTATGTAAACATGCTTCTGATCGTAATCTTCTCTCTAGTTTTTCTCTCTGCTCGGGCCACGATATGGGTTGTGCCATATATCAAAACGTTCGGACCGACGACACGAACATTCTTCCAAAATTTGGGCTTGATCCGACTTGGAACAAGAGAAATATGACCTTCCAAAATTCAACCTAAAATCACAAAACTTAGTTTCCATTAAGTTCAATGAGGGTGAACCGCAATAGTGTGAGACCTATCCATTTTGGGTAATTTGGGCATAACTTGGTTTAAAAATGTCCGATCAAGCCGAAACTTGATCTCTAGGGGTTTTCGAACGTTTCAGATATAATGACAGTGGTCCCATAGTAGTTTGACACTCCAGTAATAGAGCTATACTTATAAGGTCCATTTCCAGCGCGTTGAGGCCGATTTTTCAAAACTGTTTCTGCATCTACACTGCCTTAAAATTGTTAGATCACAACGAAACTTAGCAGATGTTCTTAAGAGACCCTTAGGAATGATCTTGAATGTTCTTGGTCTATTTTGATACTGTCAGAAATTTCACTTCTGGATCAGGTGTGATCCACATGAATTTTGGTACCTACGGACCTAGATGGCGAAATACTTACTCCTTATTTGCATCGGGGATACAAGTCCCCACTGAATGTTGTGCTTCGAGAGAAGCTAGAAGGACAACATTTGAAATCAAAACTGGTCCTTTCGGCCTTAAAAAAGAACTTTTTGGCCACCGGATCAACACAACCGCCGAAGGGGTACTTGTGCAAAGCTGCTTCCAGGAGGGGTGACAAAGGTGCTCTGACACCTGGGGGCCTTGTTTTAGGGCTTGTAGACCCATACGTGGAGACTTTTTTGGGGGAGAAGAGACATTGAGGGATGTGTTTAAAGTCCTCACCCTTGTTGGATGTTGAGGGATGATTTTAAAGTCTTCACCCTGTTGGACGTATTGTTTTGGTTCCAACAGCTGGGGGCCTTGATTAAGGGCTTGTAAACCCAGTTGGTCAGAATCCAGGCTTGTTTGGCAGTCGAGGGCCTTGCTTAAGGGCTTTCTTCCCAATCAGTCAATTTTTTTTTGCTTCTGGTGGGGGACATCTCAGGGAATGCTCATCATCCACGTCAAGAGCTTTGCTTTGGATAGTTAGGCAAGGAGCCCTTGGTGGGCGTTGTTTGTTGCTATACCAGGTTAGCTTTGACAAGCAGGGTGCCTCTTTGAGGCCCCATCCTGTCGAGTCCAGTCGAGGGCTTTTTGTTGGTCTGCCTGAAAAGTGTGGGCCCGTCGGTCTGGGAGGGGTTTGTTGAGGCGGCCTTTTTTGCTTCACGCAGGTTGCTGTGGGCAGATTTTGACCTAGTTTGACAGTTTCTTGCCTTTTGTGAGCGTCTTTGGCATGCCATCGTGGCTTTCTTGTTTGACTTCTTGGGAATGGGGTCCTTTAACATGGAACCCTGACTTACTGTCTTTCTTCTAACTCTTGGGTCCTTTTATGAACGAACTCAGACTGTTGGAGTTTCCTTCAAGTTTTTTTGTTTGGGTCTCGATAGCAGGGCATTCTGGTACTGAGGATTTTCCTTGTAGTGTCGGTTGAAGCCGCCTATGGAGGCGAGCGCTGCATCAACCTACTTATTGGTCCGAGGGCGCTTTTGGGTTTTCACTTGGACTGGGGGAAGCGGTGTCATAATGACGGTTTTCATCAACCTCCTTTTTATTGGGCACTTTTACCCATGACCTTACGGTCATGTCCACCCTTCTTCCATTTTTACTCACAGTCCCCTTTCGGGCTTTCACCGTGCTCGGT